AGCTCTCTCTCTCTCTGTACCTTTCCCTTTTGTTCACTGACTCTTCTTTATTAGGCTAGATACCACTTCACTTAGCTATTCCTGTGATGATCTTCAAGTCTCCTAGAAAATCAATTCAGGGATCCCTGGGTGGCGCAGCGGTTTAGCACCTGCCTTTGGCCCAGGGCGTGATCCTGGAGACCCGGGATTGAGTCCCACGTCGGGCTCCCAGGTGAACGGAGCCTGCTTCTGTCTCTGCCTCTCTCTCTCTCTCTCTCTCTCTCTCTCTCTCTATCATAAATTAAAAAAAAAAAGAAAAATCAATTCATTAAAATTAAGAATTTGAGACGCCTGGGTGGCTCAGAGATTGAGCATTTGCCTTCAGTTCAGGGAGTGATCCCAGGGTCCTGGGATCGAGTCCCACTTCGGGCTCCCTGCATGGAGCCTGGCGTTCTCCCTCTGCCTGTGTCTCTGCCTCTCTCTCTCTCTGTTTCTCATGAATAAATAAATACAACCTTAAAAATAAAGAATAAATAAAAATAAGAATTCATGGAAGTTTTTTTTTCATATTTATGGCTGGCTTAAGGTGTCATGCATAGTAGATACACAGAAATGAATAACTTATAGGACATAAATAGTTTTCCTTTTTCTCCCTAAATACTTTTTTCAGCTTTATTGAGATATAACTGACATATAATAGTACACACGTGATTTACATGTAGTGAATTGATACACATCTAGTGAAATGATTACTACAGTAAGGTTAGTTCACACATCCATCACCTCATATAGTTATAATTTTGTTGTGGCAGTGAGAACATTTAAGATTTACTGCTTTAGCAACTTTAAGTATATAATACAATATTGTTGACTATAATCACCAGACCGTACATTAGATACGCAGAACTTACTCATTTTACAACTGGAAGCTTGTATCTTTTTTTTTTTAAGATTATTTTTATTTATTCATGGGAGACACAGAGAGAGAGAGAGGTAGAGACACAGGTAGAGGGAGAAGCAGGCTCCATGCAGGGAGCCCAACATGGGACTCTATCCTGGGTCTCCAGGATCATGCCCTGGACTGAAGGCGGTGCTAAACCGCCGAGCCATCCGGGCTGCCCAGTTTGTATCCTTTGACCAACATTTTCCTATTTCTCCCATCCCCCAGCGTCTCCCAACCACCAATCTCACTCTGTTTCCATGAGTTCAGTTTTTTTAGATCTCATAGCTAAGTGATATCATTATTTTGGTCTCTGTCTGTGCTTATTTCACTAAGCATAACGTTCTCAAGGTTTATTCTGTTGTTATAAATGGCAGGATTTCCTTCCCTTTTGTGGCTAAGTAGCATTCTATTGTGTAAATGTGTATATGTCTATCTCACATTTGCTTTATTCATTCATTTGTAGGTGGACACTTAGATTATTTTCTTGTCTTGGCTGTTGTGATTAATGCTATGATGAACATGAAGTACAGATATCTCTTTGAGATAGGAATTTATTTCATTTATTTTGGATTTATACCCAGAAGTGGAATGGCTGAATCATATGGTAGTTATATTTTTTTTTTTTTTGAGGAACTTCCATTGTATTTTCCATAGTGGCTGCATCAGCTTACATTCCTACCAACACTGTACATGGATTCCCTTTTCTCTACATCTTTGCCAGCATTTGTTATCTCTTGTCTTTTTGATGATAGCCATTCTTACAGAAGTGAATTGATACCTCATTGTGAATTTGATTTATAATTCCTTGGTGATTAGCGATGTTGAGTACCTTTTCTTGTACTTGCCCATTTGTATGCCTTAATTGAGGAAAATGTCTATGGAGATCTTCTGCCCTTTTAAAAATCAGATTGTTTTTTGTAAAAAAAACTGTTGAGTTTTGAGTTTCTTATATTTTGGATATTAAGCCTTTAATCAGATATATGGTTTACATGCTTTTTTCTCCCATTCCATAGATTGCCTTTTCATTTTGTTGCTTATTTCTTTTGCTATATTGAAGCTTTTTCATTTAATATAGTTGATTTTTGCTGCATGTGCTTCTGCTGTCATATACAAAAAAGTCCTAGCTAATGTCAAGGAACTTTTTTCTGTTTTTTTTTTTTTTCTAGGAATTTTACCTTTTTGGGTCTTACGTTTAAGTTCTTCATTCATTTTGAGTTAATTTTTGTCCTGCTTCTCCCTCTGCCTGTGTCTCTGCCACTCTGTGTGTGTGTGTGTGTGTGTGTGTCATGAATAAATAAAATCTTAAAAATAACTAACTATAACTAATTTTGGTTAGTATAGACATTTTAATAATATCAACTCTTCGAATCTATGAACACAGATATCTTTCCATTTATTTGTGTCTTTTTCAACATATTTCATCAATGTGTTAGTGTGTTCATTGTACAGATCTTTTATCTCCTTGGTTAAATTTATTCCTAAGTATTTTATTTTTGTTGATGCTATTATAAATAGGATTAATTTCTTTATTTCTTTTTCAGATAGCTCATTGTTAGTGTATAGAAATGCATAGAATGATTTTTGTATGTTGATTTTATATCCTGAAACTACTGAATTTGTTTATTGATTCTAAAAGGGTTTTATTTTTGGTTTTGCTTTTTGGTTATAATTTCACGTTGAAAATGACAGAAAATAAAATGACTACATAAGGTGAATTTATTGGGTTTGTATGTTAGCAATAAGGGGGGACAGACAGCTTATATCTGTTCCATCCCTTCTATAGTCTAACTGTGCAGTAGGACAGTCAGAGTGGCATACCTAGAGCAGCATGTTGTGTATAGCGTATAACCAGAAAATATTGGGGCACCTGCACCTAATACTTGTTGTGAGAAAATGGGAATATCTTCCCCTGAAAAAGCTATTATTTTTGTTTTGCTTTTGTGAAGCTAGTGGAAGAGAATGACAGTGATTACTTCAAGCAGATCTTTAAATACTTTTGTCATATACAAGTAAAGTCACTTCACGATTGAGCCTTTCCCTGTATAAATATGCACTAGGAAGGCAATTGGAAGTAGTAAGTGGACAGTCATACGTATAGAAAGTATCAAATTCACTCTCTTCTATATTCTTGGCAGCACAGTTGTCTAAGAAGTTCTTTAGAACCAAAGTAGTTGATCTGGGTGTTTAGGGATTTTTTTTCCCCCGGAAGCAAAGAGGTATTGCTAGTTCTCTTTTCCCTCTCCCTAGAAACATTTTGTATACCAAGCATTTTCCTTTGTGTGTGTGTGTGTGTGTGTGTGTGTGTGTGTGTGTGTGTGTGTGTGTGTATTTTTAAATTTTTATTTAAGTAAGTTCCATACCCAAGGTGGGGCTCGGACTCAACCCTGAGATCAAGAGTCTCACACTCCACTGACTGAGCCAGCCAGGCTTCCGGATGTTTTTCTTTTTTCTTTTTAAGATTTTGTTTATGTATGTATGTATTTAGAGAGCACGTGGGGGACAGGCAGTAGGAAAGGGAGAGAGAGAGAGAGAGAATCTGTAGCAGACTCTGCTGAGCATGGAGCCCAGCCTGGGGCTTGATCTCATAACTCTTAAGATCATGACCTGAGCTGAAATCAAGAGTCAGACTCTAAACCAACAGCAACCCAAGCCCCCCCAAGTGTTTTTCTAAGAGGGAATTTTCTGGCTATTTTAACTGGAATTAGAGACTTTATTTGGATAATTTAGCTGATACAGTCATACATTTCTCTAATGTAAAATATCACTATCTTTAATCACATTAATTTTTATGATTTTCGTTATTGACTGATACTACTTATTTATAGAAAAATATGAAAGAAGCTAACATCCTCAGCACTTCAACATAAATGCTGATATGCATTTTCTTATAGCTTTTTTCTAAGTTTTTCTCTTTTAGAAACATTTTTTCCAGGCAGCCCCAGTGGCGCAGCGGTTTGGCGCCGCCTGCAGCCCAGGGCGTGATCTGGAGATCCTGGATCGAGTCCCGCGTCAGGCTCTCTGCATGGAGCCTGCTTGTGTCTCTGCCTCTCTCTCTCTCTTTCTCTCTCCCTGCATCTCTATGAATAAATAAATAAAATCTTTAAAAAAACAAAACAAAACATTTTTTCCTTTCTAATTTAGAAGTAAAAAAAAAACTTTCAAACACTAACAGTATGTTAAAAGTTATCTCAGAGTATTGTGTGTGCATTTTAAGATTTAAGAATCTACTTTTTTCATTCACCACTATATATTCCATGAATTTCTATTCAGACGTGTTTAGCCTGTTTAAGGTGTGTATTGGTAGTCTCTGAGTCTTGGAAAAAATGATTCTTAAATATTTATTGGTGCCATAGTTTAAAACAGTGATTCTCTAAGTATAGTCTGGGGATCCCTGGAGCTTTTTGAGACTCTTAGTAAGTCCTTGAGATAAACATTACTGCCATAATAATTCTGAGATGTTATTTTCCTTTTTTTATTCTTACTCTCTTTTTAGTGTAAAGTGGAATTTCCCAGAGGCTTCAGGGCTTCATAATATACATTATTGCACCAGCCTGAATCCTGAAGCAGCCATGAGAATCCAGCAATATTCTATTAAGGAAAACATTAAAGACATTTGCCTAAAGAAAAAAAAAGCCTTTCTTCTCACTAAATTCTTTTTTGTTTTGGAAAAGATAGTTATTTTTCATAAAAATATTTGTGTTAACATATAATGAATTTATTGCTACCTTTTAAATAATTTAATAAATATTTTAACATTCCTCAGTTTTAATTTATAAAGTAGTTAATATTGATAACTATAACCTTTAAACAATGTAGGCATCTCATTAATTTTTCAGAGTGTTAAGGGGTTCTGATACTGAAAGAATTAAGAATCATTAGTTTAGAAAAAGATTGATGGAAAAATCTAGGCCCTTCCTTACATCCTTGTTCTTTAGGTCTCTTTTTAGAATATTACTTACTCTTTGTGTTTTAGAGATCAAGGGACTTAAGAGTTCTATTTCTGTCTCAGATTCTTCCCTGGAACTAAGAAGCTTGTCAGTCTTCCAAAAATAACAATTCTTTGTTTTTTCCTTTTTAGATTTGATGGTAGAGTGGTGGCAAAACTGCCTTTTACCCCCCTTTCCTATATCCAAGGACTGTCTCATCGAAATCTGCTGGGGGATGACACCACAGACTGTTCCTTCATCTTTCTGTATATTCTCTGTACCATGTCAATTCGACAGGTGAGTGACCATATCCACTATTAAATACATATATTCTTCCTTGCTTTCTGGCCCTAAATTAGCTTTTACTTTTTTAATACCAGAAATATTATAGAAAAAAAAAATAAAAAAAAATAAGAAATATTATAGAATCCCAGTGGCTCCTCTGAAGCTGTTTTAAATGTGTATGGATCTAGACTGTGGATTCTTTGGGATGAGAAGTAGCCATAAACCAAACATGGTTTCCATATCCCATTCTTGGAGCTCCTAGGTTCCTTCTTCATTGGAGCCATCTAAAGATACAAAAGTGAAGGCAAGTTTGGTCTTCTCAGTATCATTTCTTCTCTATGCCAGTGCTTTTTGCACGTTAGGAACACAAACGTAACATTGGGTGACTTTAGGTTATTCACAGTTGAGATACTCAAGTCTGCATTAGAAAATTTACATTTGGCCACCATGATTATCAGACGTTCATAGTGAAAAAACAGTGAGAGCCAAGAGAGAAGTATAGATCGTTGGGAGACCCCAGAGAGAAACATAACATTTGATTAGTGGGGGAAGATTCAGGCGGAAAGGTTTAGAGAATGAAGTAGCTTTTTGAAATAGAACTTAAAAAGTAAGAGGGGTTAATTAAAGTCTCTGGCTTAAGAACTTTTTATATTTCAGTTTTTGAACACAGCTACCATTCAGCAGGCATTGCCATGGGGAAGTTGGCACATGAGACTTGTACTTTTTCTTCTTCTGAATACTGTCAATGGTAGCAGATTTTTTTGGTTGGCCTAGCATGTGAGGAAAAGTAGGAAATGGAGTTATAGTTTGAAACTTGCAAAGATCTACATGGTCTTACTGCTTAAGGCTTTTTCCCCACCTCATCTCTCATCCAACATTCCAACCATTCTGACTTGCCTGACAGCTCCCATGTCCCACTCACTCAGATTTACTTTTTGTGAATGCTCTTTCTCTGGCTGCCTCCCACCTCCTCCTTTTGTAGATTTAGTGCAACCAGGTTTCAAGGCTTCCTCGCAACGTTTTCTGACACTTAACTGCTTTCTGAAGGATAGTTGTGAGAGGAGCCTGGCTAGGTGCACAAATACCAGAAGACTATCCAAATTGTCTAGCAAAAAATCGTTATGTCCTAAACTATTGCAGCGATGAGAAGGATGAAAGGGAGAGGGCAAAGATGAGATATATGCAGAGGTAAAGAAGCAGAACTTAGTGAGAAAGGAGAAATTTATGTGCTCCCAGGTATGGCTTTGGTGACCAAATGGAGATTAGTCTCATTAAGAGGGGGGTATAGAGGAACAAGGAGTAGGTTGGGTAGAAGATAAGCTGTTGGAGATGTTTATGGAGCAGCTAAGTGGGTATGTCCACTGGAAGTTGTATTCTTGTGTAACTGAGATGTATAATACACCTTTCAAAATGTCTCTGTAGTGAAGCATTTTATTTAGTCTATCTAAACATGAAAACCAGGATAGTGACAACACAGATCTCCTTTGTTGGTTTAGCAGAGGTCTGTTGATTTCCAGAATGTTGCTCTTAAATTTGATTATTTAAATCCAAAATTTTTAAATTGCAGCTGTGTCCAAATATTAATGAACCACAGTGATGCATACATTCTACTTCAAGCAACTAAGAGCAATTCTACTTTAATAATATGCAGATATTAATACTTTATGTGTGATAGCTCACAAAAGGCATTTTAGATGGACCATTTGCACTGCTACCTGGACATTGCTACCTAGAAATCACCATCTGAAGCTGTAGAGTTTTGTTGTTGTTGTTGTTTTTTTTAAGATTTTATTTATTCATGAGAGACACAGAGAGAGAGAGGCAGAGACAGGCAGAGGGAGAAGCAGGCTCCATGCAGGGAGCCCGATGTGGGGCTCGATCCCAGGTCTCCAGGATGATGCCCTGGGCTGAAGGTGGCACTAAACCACTGAGCCACCCAGGCTGCCCTGAAGCTGTAGAGTTTTTAAAATGAAATAAATATTAAGAATGATCGTTGAGGAAGTTCAGGTCAAGCTGGTCTTTAAACTCCTTTCCGTTATTTCAGAGAGTCTGGTGAGGTGTTTGTTGAGCAGTTAAATCTTATCAGGAATGCAATGTTCATTTACCATGGTAGTCAGCAAATCTTTTGTGTTAAGGTCTGGATAGTAAATATTTTTGTATTTACTTTTCAGGCCATACACTCTGTTGTAACTACTCAACTTTGCCATTATAGTATGAAAACAGTCCTAGACAGTATGTAAATGAATGAATGGCTGTGTTCCAGCAAAACTTTATTTAAAAAACCAGGCAAGGGGTTAGCCATAGTCTGCTAATCCTGGAAGGTTCAGGCAGAGACTGTCACAGCTACTCAGCTCTGCCATTAAGGTATGAAAGCAGCCATAGACAATATATAAATGAGTATTGACTTTGTTCCAATAAACCTTTATTTATAAAAACAGTCAGTGGACCAGCATGGTAGGCTAGCCCCTGAGAACTACAGTGCTTAGTATGTGCTATAAAGTTAAATAGGAAGGTAGATTCTTCACTGGTACAGCTTAATGAAATAATTGCTTATTGAGTACAGAGAAGGGGAGGAAAAGGGTGGCAAATCCCACCCCTGGCGCCACACACACACACACACACATTCAATGTGTTTTGAGCCGGGAAGGGTGCATACTCAAAATTTTGATTTCTACTTGTCCCTTCCATACACTGATATTAACAGTGCCTGGAATGGGACAGTATTACAGTATTGCATAGCTAATAAATATAGTGTTGTATTTGAAAGATTTGTTTTGTATACAGTTCTTTTCCCCAAAATCAGTGGTGAATTCTGACTTGTTGCCGCATCCCGAGTGGTGCTCATCTTGGGCAGATAATTTTATTACCCAAATTTTAAACAAAGTATTCTTTTTTTTTTTATTTTTTTAAAGATTTTATTTATTTATTCATGAGAGACAGAGAGAGAGAGAGAGAGAGAGAGAGAGGCAGAGACACAGGCAGAGGGAGAAGCAGGCTCCATGCAGGGAGCCCGATGTGGGACTCGATCCCGAGTCTCCAGGATCACACCCCGGGCCGCAGGCAGCACTTAGTGCGCTAAACCGCTGCGCCACTGGGGCTGCCCCCAAGGTATTCTAATATATTAAAAAGCATAGAAAAATCACCAGTGACCTAATTTTATAATTTTTATTTTAGTAGCTGCATATGATTTCTGACCTGTTCCTCACTAGTTGTTAGCATATGTATCGGAGAATTATGAACTTCTATCCATTCTGATATACCTTAGCATTTGAAATGTTACTATGAAATATAAGTTTCTCTCTTTGAATTAAAATGCTTGTTAGCTTACTATTTCCATGTTTTGTTTTGTTTTGTTTTGTTTACTTCTTAGGATCTTAGGTTACATGGTAATTGTGTAGATGCCTGTGAAATGAGCAGCCATAAAACAGAAGGCTTTCAGAAATTCAAATTATAGATGTACTATGATTTCCCCAGTGAGGCCATTCTTAGGCAAAGAAGTAGGCCACTTGGTTTCAGATATATACTGTGGTATAAAGTAGTTTTAAGAGAACATAGTGAATTGTTTTTTTTGTTTGCTTGTTTGGGGATATAAAATGGAGTGAGTGATGGGAAAACTAATATAGAATGATTCAAGTTTCCATAATGATTGGTCATATTTTGCCTTATAGAAGTTTTTGGTTATCTGTTTTTGTCCGCTTGTTATATATTTTTTTATAAAGATTTTATTTATTCATTCATGAGAGAGAGAGAGAGAGACTTGTTATATTTTTTCCTAAGATTTTATTTATTCATGAGAAACACAGAGAAAGAGGCAGAAACATAGGTAGAGGGAGAAGCAGGCTCCCTGCAGGGAATCGGATGTGGGATTTGATCCCAGGGCCCCGGGGTCAGGCCCTGAGCCAAAGGCAGATGCTCAACCCCTGAGTCACCTAGGTGTCCCTGGTTGTTGGTCTTTTTTTGAATTTTTAGCTTTTATGTTGGAGATTAGCCCTCTCCGTGTACTGTAAGTCACACATAATTTTTCTAGCTTATCATTTGTTTTTGTTTTCTTTCTTTCTTTTTTTTTTTTTTTTACTATGTTTAAAATTTTATTGGCTGATAGCTGTCACATGTTCTTCCCATGCTGCTAATCCGGAATTAAATGTACAAAGAGAAGTGAACAAAAAAGTTACCCTCAGAATGCAACAAAATTTGAACAAGTGGGGAGAAAAATGCTTATGGCTAGAAAACAAAACTTGTCTCTTAGTTCAGAGAAAAGTTTTCTTTGTACACCATATTTTAATGTGCAGTTTTGTTTTCCATTTAGGAAGTGTGGGAAACACCTACTTAAATTGTTTTTGGAAGACACCCCATTTTGCAATACAGAGTCTTCCGGATTTTTTGGGCTACAGATGTTGAAAGGTATTCATTCCATGGTATTCTCACTTACAAGTAGCTCTTGTCTGGCAGAGACATCACTCAGCTTTCTGACATTTTGTCAAGGATGAGTAGAGGGGCAAGAATTCTTGCCCAATTTGTTTCCACAATGCAGCCATTTAACACCATCTCATCCAAAATGATGTGTACTTTGTCCAAATTAAACATATCTAATTCACTCACTCGGCTGAGGTACTCATCTAACACTTCCACAAAGTCATGGATAAATTCATAAATTGCCATCTCATTCTCTGTCATTAACTCCAACCACAATGAAGAGAGCTGCATACTGTCGATATATCAGCTTGAAATCCTTAAACTCAATGAAAGAGCATTGTTCACTGGATCGGGAGAGACAGCTCTTTATGACTTCCGTTTCAAGAAGTGTACGCTTATTAATCTCCACATGTTCATAGTATTTAGAAAGTCGGGTCTGTCCTTGTTTATTCACCATTAGGAAAAATTTTATCATTTTTTTTTCTGGCCAGTGTTTTTCCAGATAGTTCAAAAGTTATGTCAAGAGGTGCCTGTAATTCTGTAATTAGAACCTGTGCAGCTGGGGGGGCGGGGGAGGGAGGCGGGGGGGGGGGTGATAG